GGCAGCGGTGGCGGCAGCGGCTGCGGCGGCAGCGGCTGCGGCGGCGGCGATTCGGCGGCGGGGGCGGCGCCGCCGCCGCCGCCGGCGGCGGCGGCGGCGGAATCCGGCGGCGGCGGAATCCGGCGGCGGGCAAGGGCGGCGGAGGATTGGCCCCCAGTAGCTGAATATGCTGCGGCTCGGGCCAGGCTCGGGTACTACGTATGTATTGGGAGGGCGGGTGGGAGTGAGCGAGACGGCTTGCGGGCGGGGAGGGCGTCTTGACCCTCACCCCCACCCCCTCACCTGGACCTGGAGGGGGGGGGGTTCGCGAGGCGTTGGAGCGTCCACCATGGCCCAAGATGGCTCCAAGAGGGCCTCAGAGAGCCCAAGATGACCTCCAAGATGGCCCAAGATAGCCCAAGATAGTTCCAAATGGCCCCCAAGATGCCCCAAGATCGCGGCTCCAAGTGGCCACGGAACCTCCCCAGGAGGCCGCCAAGAGGCCAGAATTTATCAAAAAGCTAGAGCAAATCAATGAGTTTGGACTTCTCGCCTTTTCGCTTTCGATGGCCTTCCGAGGCCTCCAGCTGGCCCCAAGAGGGCCAGGAGGGTCCCAAGAAAGGCCCAAGACGGCCCGCCCAAGAGCGCTTCCAGAGCGCCCCAAGAGGGGCCCAAGAGGCGAGTTGCGGGATTCCCGAGGGGGGGTCGCAATGAAAGCTCCCATCGTTTTTTGATCGATTTCCTCCAAGATGGCCCCAAGAGCGACTCGAAGCATCCCAAGAGCTCCTCAAGAGGGCCCGAAGAGGCACCCAGGAGGCCCCAAGAGGCGCCTAAGAGGTCCCCAAGAGGCTCCCAAGAGACCCCCAAGAGGCCCCAAGAGGCTCCCCGAGGCATCCACGACGCTCCACAAGGCCCCCGGGACCGCCAAGAGACCCCCTAAGACGCTCCAAGAGGCCTCCACTGTGGGACCATTCCTCTGCGTGCTGACCACTTCCCTGATCGAGGGAATTCATCTAGGCATCGTTTCTGCATGGGCTGGTAGGGTTACGCGAAGAGTCTAGAATTCACATGCAGGCAATATGTTCGTGATTTCGTCCAGTGCGCCGTAGACTAGCACACTCGGCTTTCCCGCGTGAGGTAAATAGACGGAAACGCGAGCTACCTTAAAAATCTGCACCACATTCCACACGTCCCCGCGGCATACGCGCTCAATCTTCCGAAAACGGTTAGGAACAACGATCGGGCAATGCTTCCCGACCTTTGAAAAGACAGCGCAGTGGAGCCCCTCTCCTCGCTGTCCGCCCATGATCACACATCCTGCAGCAAAGCCACACAACCCCCAAGCGAAGACTCCACAGCTTTAGCCGTTCAGCCATCCACTGAGCAGCACTGTTTCTTCTGAAGGTTACGCGTGAAGGCCCAGAGGCTATTGAATTCATGATGCAGAGTTCTGAGGCCCCCCTAGCGCACCGAGAGCACCTCGACAGCGCCCACGCCCATCACTCCGATGAACTGCACCACGTTCCGTTCGCTGATCTTCGCGTCGCCCTCCTCCGTCACCTCTCCGATAAGATACGGCGAGTCCACCCCGATCCGCCTCCACGTAGCAAGTGCATGTGGAACATTCGATATTCATCTTCAGGTTCTGTTTGCCCGCGATGGCCTGCTCAGTGGACTCGATGGTAGCGCAAGCGTAGGTGCATGGGTTTCTTCGTCACCACGTACGGCGTCAAACCATTGATGTTCCACGCCTAGTTCTAGGTCTCATTCGGCAGGTCCGCAACGCAACCACGAAGTTCCCAAGTGCACTTCGGGGCGGTATTGCCCTGGATCTTGAAGTTGAACAGCCCGCGGAGCTGAACCTCGCCAACGTGCTCTCGAAGTTCTTCAGGGGGGTGAGCGTTAATCTGGTCCGCCAACCGCGTCGCCTACCGACGCGTCACTCCCTTCTCCCTCCGCTGCACCCACGTGCAGAAGACTTTGACCTCCAGGTAGCTCGGCTCGAATTCTCCATCCCCTTTGGAACGCGCCCTCCAAGAGCTCCCCTTCGGAGCGGCCTTCATGTCCCGGACCTGGCGCTCGAGCTCCTCCTCCCAATTGCTGAGACTCTCCAAAGCCGTCACCCGCCCGGAGATTTCATTCGACTTCCAGTCGATCAAGGCGAAACGCGCCCCAACCGCCTCCTCACACGCGTTTTTCATGTACGGCGCAAGGCTCCTGGCGAAAGCCTCAGAGTCGAACTGACCTTGCACCGCCATCCTTCCTGTAGTTATCATGTTGTGTTGCCTTTGCACTGGAACTGACTGGTACTGCAGCATCATCATCATCACCATCATCAGCAGCATCAACTTCATCATCATCAGCAGCAGCAGCATTATCATCATCATCATCATCATCATCATCATCATCATCATCATCATCATCATCATCATCAGCATCATCAGCAGCATCCTCATCATCATCAGTATCATCATCATCATCATCATCATCATCATCATCAGCAGCAGCAGCATCAGCATCGTCATCATCATCGGCATCATCAGCAGCATCATCAGAATCCGAGTCGACGACAGCATCATCGTCACCACCACCACTAACAGCATCATCATGTTCAAAATCATCATCAGCAGTAGCATCATCAGAATCGACGTCACGTCATTGTCGTCGTCATAGTCATCGGCATCATCAGCATCATCATCAGCATCATCAGCATCATCATCATCAGCAGCAGCATCATCACCATCATCTGCATCATCCTCATCATCATCCTCATCATCATCACTTTCATCATCAGCATCATCACCATGAGCATCATCATCATCATCACAACCACCACCGTCAGCATCGTCATGTTCGTCATCGGCATCGTCATCGCCACCATCAGCATCACCATTATCATCATCAACAACATCATCATAAGCAGCATCGTCATCATCACCAGCATCATCATCATCATCATCGTCGTCGTCATGTTCGTCGTCGTCGCCACCGTCGTCGTCGTCGTCGTCATCAGCATCCTCGTCATCATCACAAGAGTAGTCGGCGTCATAATCATCAACATAGGCATCGTCATCACCATCACCATCTACCATCATCAGGATCATCATCTCCATCATCATTATCATCAGCACCATCGTCGTCTTCGTCGTCGCCATCCCCAATCAACATCATCATCATCCACGCTATCCACATCCTCCACCTCAACCTCGTCGCCGTCATCATCATCAGCATGCTCATCCTCACCCGCATCAACATCAGCATCATCACCAACATCATAATTATTACTGACATAATCACGATCACCAATCGTCAAACATCAGTCAGCATCATCTTCAGCGTCATCATTCACCATCATCAGCAGCATACTCATCAGAATCATCACCACCACCACCACCACCATCACCATCATTATCATCAGCAGCAGCATCATCATCACCATCCTCATCGTCATCATCATCAGCAGCATCATCCTCTTCCTCATCCGCATCATGATCAACATCCTCATCGTCATCAGCATCACCATCATCATCATCATCATCCTCATCATCATCGTCATCATCATCATCATCATCATCGTCATCAGCAGCATCATCATTCTCATCCTCGTCCTCATCCTCATCCTCCTCATCATCACCGTCATCATCACCATCAGCACCATCATCACCACCACCACCGTCATCATCGTCATGTTAGTCATCGGCATCGTCATCAGCATCATCAGCAGCATCAGCATCGTAATCATCATCATCATCAGCAGCAACATCATCATCATCATCATCATCATCATCAACATCATCATCAGCACCATCATCATCATCATCATCATCATCATCATCATCATCATCATCATCATCATCATCATCCTCGTCCTCATCCTCATCCTCATCCTCATCACCACCATCATCATCACCATCATCAACAGCATCATGAGCAGCATCATAACTATCATCATCAGCATCATCATCACCGTCATCATTGTCATCAGCCTCATCAGTATTATCATCAACAGCATCACCATCATCATCACCACCACCAGCATCATCATCAGTCCCATCCGCATCATCAGCAGGATCAGCATCATCATAAGCATCAGTATTACCATCAGCATCACCACCATCGCCAGCATCAGCATCATCACCGTCATCATCATCATCAGCAGCAGCATCAGCAGCAGCATAATAATCATCATCATCATCATCATCATCATCATCATCATCATCATCATCATCATCATCATCATCATCATCATCATCATCATCATTATCATCGTCATCATCGGCACCATCATCAGCAGCAACGAAATCATTATCGCCATCACCCCAATCACCCTCATAATCCTCATCATCCTCATCACGGCTATCCCAAACCTTGAGACACGAAGCGACACACGTGGCGGCCTCCCGTGCCATCTCGAACAGTTGCCACCCAGAATGCTGAACTGACACGGCGGTGGTACTTGCCGCAGGCAGCTCGACTGTCCTCCTCTTCCCTCGTCTGGGAGGCTGGAGTGTTTATTTCTGGGATCCCCCGTTTTTGACCGCAGGTGAGAAACTTACAGCTCCCGAACAGAGCGGGTTCATGCAAACAAGCTTTGGTGGGTGATTGCGACAAGCCCCCCCCCAAGCTTCCGACGCCATCACGCTTTCGCGACATGTGCCCCTGGACCTCCCGACCCCATCCTGGGGACAGGCTTTTAACCTCAGTCTTCCTCCATTCTCCCCCGAAACGAACCTCCCCAAGCACAAAAACAGCATTGAAATCACGAGTGGCCCAAAGCTGCCAAGTTTGGGGCATCCAGGACCCAAAAACAATCATTAACGAGGACGCCGCCGACGCCGCCGCCAGCGGCGGCGGTTGCGGCGGCGACGACGACGACGACGACGACGACAGGCGTCGCCGCCGCCAGCATCCGTGCGGCTGCGCGGGCCGCACAGGGCCGCCGAGGGCGTCCGAGGGCCCGCTGGGTTCCGCCACGAACCGCCGAAGGACCGAAGGCCTACGGGGGCCGCCGGGGGGGCGTCCTTTTTCTCCTCGGACCAGCCCCGTTCCCATGCCGGGAGGCCCGCCACGCAGTCGAACGGGCACGTGGAGCTGTTCTTGTTCAGGCAGCACCACTCCTCTGCCCGCGCTGGCCGTTGCGCGAACCCCTGCACGCACCACCTCCTCTGAGCAGCGGAGGAGACCCATGGCCCTGAAGCCTCGTTTAAAAAAGCGGTCGGCCTCCGAGGTCCGTTTTCGGGCCTCGAGGCCATCAGGAGACGACCCAGGTTGAAGGTCCGGACCTGGGGGAGGACGTCGAGAGCTCTGGGGCCCAAGCATGAAGACATAGCCTGCGACGTACCCAACCCAGAAGCATCGCGTGGGCAGAATACTTGACCCAGATTGTTATGCTTGCTGGCAACACAAGAACCATCCTTTATATTGCGCAAGCTACGTGGATGCCCGCGCGTCGCACGACTCACAGAGCGGCAATCCCACCAGCCCTTCAGGGCGTGAGTGTTTGAGCAAGTTCCCTCTTCCAACCCACTTCTTCCCCTTCGGGGATAGGTTTATCACTGTTCCCTATTAATAAACACCCCCTCCCCCAGGCGACCGGCAGCCAACCAGAACCAATGACACCCACCCACACACACACACCACCCCTGTCAGAAAGCCATACAAAATACACTTAGGGGTAACTTCTTGGGTCATGCTCGTGGGCCCCGCGAGCAGTTTGTTTTGTTTTTTGACGGGGGCTGCGGCGGGGTATCATATTGCCTGCTGCGCGCAGGGCCACCATCCGTGTCAGCATACAATACAAAAAAACACTTCGCGGCTAAACCTGAACCATGCTCGGCCACCCCGCGGTCACGTTGCATTGGTTTGGGAAAACAGACAGCGGGGGTGTTGGCAGATTGCCATGATGGCCACCTCGTGGAGATTGCGCACTGGTTTTCCACAAGGACGGTGGGGGCCGACAAGCTCCCCGATGCGTGCTGTCACGTGCGCGGGCGCACCTGGCACACTCTGCGCGTGCCCCGAACGTGGCGCACCTGGCGCGGCTGAAGCATGATGCACACATGGCGCACGTAGAACACGTGGCGCATCTGGCGCGCCAGGCGTGCCGAGCACGCTTGGGCCCCTGGGGTGCCTGGCGCACCTGGCGCACGTGGCGCGCCTGGCACGTGGCGCACATCGCTCCAGCATCGCGCACGTGGGGTCTGTTTCTGGTTCCCACTAGCTGTCCATCCATGGACGACCGCTGAACAAGCTGAGGCAGGTGGGAGTGAGCGAGACAGCTTGCGGGCGGGGAGGGTGTCTTGACCCCTCCCCCCCTCCCCCGGGTTTGGAGGGGCTTGGAGCGTCCAAAACGGCCTCTGCGAGGAAGCCCAAAAAAATGTGTCTAAGGTGTTGGCCGCATTTGGGCCCCCTGGGAGGGGGGGGAACCTAATGTACTACGGTCCCTCCGTTGATCGATCTCCTGCAAGACGGCACCCAGATGGCCACCGAGGCTCCAAAGGGTTCTACAAGACAGCACCATGAGGTGCCCAGGAGGCCCCAGCAACTCCCCAAAGGCCCCCAAGGTGCCTTCAAGAGAGTCCCAAGAGACCCCCGAGAGGCCCCCCAGAGGCTTCCAAGACGCCCGAAGAGGCCTCGACAAAAAGGCCACAACAGTTGATGCCACTAAGGGGTTGGTCACACTCCAAGGTGGCCCCAAGACGGCCCCCGAGGCCCCAAAGACTGCCCCAAGACAGCCCCAAGAGGTGCCCAGGAGGCCCCAGCAACCCCCCAAGAGGCTACCAAGAGACCCCCAAGAGTCTCCCAAGAGACCCCCAAGAGGCCCTCTTATTGGCTCCCCAGAGGCACCCACGACGCCCCAAGAGGCCTCGGCGAGAATACCACAATCACTGATGTTACCAAGGTGTTGGTTATATGTTTGCCTCCTGGATCTCCTCCAAAATGGTCCCCGAGGCTCCCAAGCGTTCCCAAAAACGGCCCCGAGAAGTGCCCAGGAAGCCCCAATGGGCCCCCAAGAGGCCCCCTGGGTGCCCCCAGACTGCCAAGAGACCCCCCAGACACCCCGCGAGGACTCCACGAAGCTCCGAAGGAACTCCGAGAGGCATCCCAGAGGTTTATGGCCTTTCTGTTCGCCCTCCTCTTCCTCCTCCTCCTCCTCCTCCTCCTCCTCCTCCTCCCTCCTCCTCCTCCTCCTCCTCCCCTCCACCTCCTCCTCCTCCTCCTCCTCCTCCTCCTCCTCCTCCCCTCCTCCTCCTCCTCCTCCTCCTCTCCTCCTCCTCCTCCTCCTCCTCCTTCCTCATCTTCCTCCTCTTCCTCCTCCTTCCTCCTCCTCCTCCTCCTCCTCCTCCTCCCTCCTCCTCCTCCCCCTCCTCCTCCTCTCCTCCTCCTCCTCCTCCTCCTCCTCCTCCTCCTCCTCCCTCCTCCTCCTCCTCCTCCTCCTCCTCCTCCTCCTCTCCTCCTCCTCCTCCTCCTCCTCCTCCGCCAAGAGATCCTGCAGGCGATCTGGCAGGCGGCGGCGCGCCTGCACAGGCAGGCGAGTCCGCGGTCCACGGCGCGGCCCTTCTCGACGGAGACGAGCTCCGACATGTTGTCCCCCAGGCTGAGCAGCCGGGAGTTGTGGCAGTCGATCTGCCGCGCGGCGTGCCGGAGCCCGCCCAGCGCGATGCGGCCCTCCAGCAAGTGAATAGGGCCGCCGCGCCTCCAGGCTCCCTCGACGATGAGCGACCAGCCCTTGGGGTCCACGAGGTCGTCGGGCACGGCGAGCCCTGCAGGCCTCGGGGCAGCTCGGATGCGGCCCTTGAGCACGCCCCGAGCGCCCTCCCTGGAGTGCGACGGGGGAGGCGCCCACACGGCCACGCCCGTGGCGCCGGGCGACTCGCCCAGCACGCCCCCAGTCCCAGGGACCCAGCCCGGCATGAACGCGTCGTCGTGCTCCGGGTCGGGCCGCTTCTCGTCGGGGACAAACCTCCACCTCTCGGGTGGCCGCCAGCTCTCGGAGAAGCGCGTCGACGGTGAAGGGCGCGCACCTGGCCTCGGAGGAGTCGGAGTACAAGACCAGCGAGGACATCGGACGGTCCAAGAAGTCGACGGCCTGGAAGATGAGCCCCCTGAACAACTGAATCTCACGCCGAGCTGCGGCGGGAAGAGGGACAGGAGGGCCCCGACTCTGGCGATCCACGAGCCGGCACAGCAGGTGAAGACCGACAGGGCGGGCCGAAGCAAGAGGCAGTGTTGCACGCAGCGCCCGAGGAACACGCGGATCTGCCAGGCCGCGCGCGGGACCCCACGCCGCTCGAGCTACCCGCACGCCAGGTAGAGGCGCCAGGACCGATGGTCCGAGTGTCGGAGCCGTCGCCGCTCGCCGTCGTACTGGACGCCGACGGTGGAGAAGTGGTTGGACGGCCCCTCGACTTCGTGGTACGCGACGCCGAGCGAGTCGAGCTTGCGCTTCGTCGCCTCCAGAGCGCCGCCGACGTCAGAGCTCGACGGGCCCAGGATGGAGACGTCGTCGACGTAGACGGAGCCAGTCGGCCGCGACGGCGCCGCCACAGGGGCCGGCTGCTCGTCAAGCACCAGCCGGCGGGCACCGCCAGGCAGCGCGTCCACCACCCAGCACGTGACGGACGAGCGCACGGCCCAGAGCGCCCAGGACCAGCCCATGGCCACGCCGCGGAGGACGGGGAAGACGAGCTCGTCGGGGTCGACCGGGGAGGGGCCGTCGGGGGACCAAATGTGGGCGACGCCATGGTCCGCGGCCCTCTCCGGGAAGTCCATCCCGAAGTCCTCGGCGACCCGCTCCGCGAAGAACTGGTAGAACGAGTCCTGCAGGTCGAGGGAGGCCCCGAAGACCTGGGGCGGCGAGCCGTCGGGGACCCGCCACCCAGCCTCCGCGAGGGCCGCATCGGACCAATCCTGCTCGCCGAGGGCGGCGGGGGCCCCCAAGGCGGCGCGCGGGGGCGCCCAGCGGGCACGGTAGACGCCCCGAGCGTCGACCACCAGGCGGCTCCAGCCCCCTTTCTTCTCGACGAAGAAGCAGCCCACCCTCGACCTGATACGCCGGCGGACGCCGACGAGCCCGCGGCCCGCGAACCCCAGCAGGAACTTCTTGCGGAGACAGGGGCCGCCAGCGAGCCGCACATCCCAGCACGGCGTGACCGGCGGCTCGAGCTCAAGGCCCCGCTCCACCACGCGGTCGGGCTTGCGAATGTAGGCGTCGGGGCCGCGGAAGGCGCCCGCAACGAACTTGGGGCAAACCTCCCCCACGTCGCGAGGCGCGACGGTGGACGGCCAAAACTTGAGCTTGGACTCGCCGTAAGGCACGACCTTGCACGGCGCGCCCCCGTAGAGCGAGTCGGACTTGAGGAGCTCCTGAAGGGCTCCGCGGGGGCGAAGGCCAGCCAGGCGAGGGCCATACTCCGCCACGCACCTGCCGACCTGACGGAGGCGCGAGGATGAAGTGGCCGAGCCCGATGACCCAGAATCGGCAGCGCCGCCCGGCCCGCGGCCGACGCGGCGCACCGCGCTGGAGGCGAGGCCGCTGATGTATCGGACAGCCTCTCGAACACGGCGTTCACGAGAGCGACGCTGAAGAAGCCGCTGGCGCAGGTAGCGCGGCGCCCCGCTGAGATCGACCGGCGGGCCAGGCCCCGGGACCGAAAGCGGCAGCGGGCCCCCGTGCGAGGATCGAGCACCCGACGCCATGGAGAGGAAGGCGACGTGGCCACCGCGGCGGAAGACCCCGCGGCGGCGGCCAGGCCAGGCGGGGCACCGCAGGGCGCCCAGCCTGAGAAGGGGGCCGGCTGGCCCCGGATCACTTTCCGCCGTCGGCCCCGCCGCCCTTGGACCCCTTCGGGGGCGCCTTGGGCTGCGCGGCCGCCCTCTCCTCCTGCCACTGCCGATTCGCCTTCATGGTCAGAGCCCGCGCCCGGGCCTGGTCGCCAACCCAGCCGTCGAACTCCGGCAACACCATGCCGCCCGTGTCGTCGACGGCCGTGTCGAGGGTGAGCTCAAGGCCCTCGCAGTCCGGGGCCCGCGGATTCTTGCGCGCGGCGGCCTCCAGCTGCTTGAGCCGCCTGATGAGGTACTCCGCGCCGGCGATATTGAACAGGTCCAGCCGGTCGAACTGCTGCATCATCTGGAGGGCCACGCAAATCATGCGATGCTCGCGGGCCACATTGCCCCGCTCGGCGACGCCACTGCGACGCAACCAAGTCGCGCGGTGCTCCTCCCAGTTCGACTGGCCGCCGTCGCGGAGAGCAAGGATGGCCTCCTTCGCGGCCCTCCGGCCCTGCAGCGGCCAGCCTGGGATCGTCGCCTCCTTCATCCTCCGAACCGAATCGCGGAAGTCGATGAACCCCCCGCCGTCTGGATCCCTATCGTCGCCCACGACGCGGGGGCCCCGCCCAGCACCACCACGAGCACGCGCCAGGTACAGGTCGAAGCTCCCGCCCTCGGGGACGCGGACGGAGTGGAGCCAGACATCGTCGAGCCACAACAAGCCAACGTCCCCACGCCGGACCAGGGTCTCCTCGTTCTCCAGGGCCTGCTGCGGCACCTCCTCCCCGAAGTGCGAAGAGGTCGGGTCGCACACGTACCACTTGTCGCCCGGCAGCCCGGGCACTCCCTCGACGGCGAAGCCAGGGATCCCGGCGAGCGCGCGAGCCTCCTGCAGGTAGGCCTGCATGTCCTCCGGCGGCACATCGTCGAAGGTGTAGTAGATGTTCCCCGCATGCCGGGGGGGGAAGTGGCCCGACCTCCGTAGGGCAAGGACCCTGAAGCCAGCAAGGTCCGCGAAGGCCACCTCCCCGTCCGGCGTGAGCCAGATCCACTTCTGGGCGTCCCCCTTCACGAGCAGGACCCGGCGATGCCACTGGAAGTTCGGGTCCGCGTCGTAGCGAACGAGGCACTGGAGGAACGGCGTGTCCAACGCACGCGCCATCAGTCCCGAGGAGAGCCAGGAGGGCGACGCCTGTTGCCCAAACTCGCCGGGGTGGCGACCGCAACGTCCAGCCCCACTCCGGCGTCTTCAAGCGCGAGAGCTCGGGCTGGGGGCAAGCCTGAGCGCACCCCGCTCGCCAGCCTCCAGGCCGACGCGAGCCCCACGCCGACGGCCACGCCCACCACGGCCGCGCCGAGGAGGTCGTAGCCCGTGTAGTGCCCGAGCGGGACCGGGCACGAAGGGCAGGGCTGGCACGGCGCGCCCTGTCAGTGCTCCAGCCCGCAGCGCGCCAGCTGCTCCCAGAGGATGGCCACCAGGCCGTCGGAGATCCCAGGGCCCTCGAACGCGCAGCGGCAGGTGACCTCCGCGACGGCGTCGCGGCTGGCCCCAGCCCAGCGCTCAGAGAAAACCCCCCGCACCCATCCGCCGGCCGCGTGTGCCCACCCGGCCATGAACTGCTCACGGCAGAAAGGCTTGAGGAGTCAAGGCAGCGGAAGGGGGAGGAGCAAATGCACAAGCGTTGCGAGCAAATGCAATCAGCAGCATCAGCATCAGCATCAGCATCAGCATCAGCATCAGCATCAGCATCAGCGTCATCATCATCATCATCATCATCATCATCATCATCATCATCATCATCATCTCATCATCATCATCATCATCATCATCATCATCATCATCATCATCATCATCATCATCATCATCATCATCATCATCATCATCATCATCATCATCATCATCATCATCATCATCATCATCATCATCATCATCATCATCATCATCATCATCATCATCATCATCATCATCATCATCATCATCATCATCATCATCATCATCATCATCATCAGCAGCAGCAGCATCATAGTCAGCATCATCATTAGCAGCATCATCATCAGCATCATCAGCATTAGCATCATCAGCAGCATCATCAGCATCATCAACATCATCGTAAGCATACTCAGCAGCATCAGCATCAGCATCAACATCATCAGCATCATCAGCATCATCATCAGCAGCATCATCAGCACCATCATCATCATCATCATCATCATCATCATCATCATCATCATCATCATCATCATCATAATCAGCATCATCATCAACATCATCAGCATCATCATCATCATCATCAGCATCATCATCATCATCATCATCACCACCACCACCACCATCATCATCATCATCATCATCATCATCATCATCATCATCACCATCATCATCATCGTCATCGTCATCGTCATCATCAGCATCATCATCATCAGCATCATCATCGGCATCAGCATCAGCATCATCAGCATCACCATCACCATCATCACCATCATCATCGTAATCATCATCACTAGCATCATCGTCATCATCAGCAGCAGCAGCATCAACATCGATATCATCAGCATCATCATCATCATCATCATCAGCAGCAGCATCATCATCATCATCATCATCATCACGTCCATCGTCCCACCCCCTCACTCCTCAGTGGTCCTCCTCCTCCTCATCATCACACGCTCCTCCTCCTCCTCCTCCTCCTCCTCCTCCTCCTCCTCCTCCTCCTCCTCCTCCTCCTCCTCCTCCTCCTTCTGTCAACGTCCGCAACGAATGGCGACGACAAGTGAAGATGCGCCTCCAAAAAACTAAGATGCTTCCAAGACGGCCTCAGAACGGCCCAAGAGGGCCCCTAGACGGCCCAGGACGGGCCAGACTGCCAAGAGGATCCCAAGACGGCCAAGAAAACCCCAAGACGGCCCCTGAGGGCCCCATGAGAATTCCAACGCGTTCCAAATACGGCCACGTAGGAGCCCAAGGCACTCCTCCCCCTCCTCCCCCTCCTGCTTCCTCTTCCTCCTCCTCCTCCTCCTCCTCCCTCCTCCTCCTCCTCGTTCTCCCCCACCTCCTCCTCCTCCTCCTCTTACTCCTCCTCCTCCTCCTCCTCCTCCTCCTCCTCCTCCTCCTTCTCCTCCGCCTCCTCTTCCTCCTCCTCCTCCTCCTCCTCCGCCTCCTCCTCCTCCTGATGCTCCTCCTCCTGTTCATTAGTATCCTCCTCCTCCTCCTCTTCCTCATCATCATCATCAGCATCATCAGCATCATCATCATCATCATCATCATCATCATCATCATCATCATCATCATCATCATCATCATCATCATCAGTATCATCATCAACATCAACATCAACATCAACATCATCATCAGCATAATCATCATCAGCATCATCTTCATCAGCATCATCATCATCAGCATCATCATCACCACCACCGCCATCATCATCATCCCCCTCCCCCTCCACATCCCCATCCAGCTCATCCTAATGCTGGCGCGCCCGCAACGATTAACGACGACGAGCGAAGGTGCGCCCACAAAATAACCCAAGAGTCCTTCAAGACAGGCTCAGGACGGCCCGAGAGGGCACCTAGGCAGCCCAGGACGGCCAAGGTGAACCCAAGACGGCCAAGAAACCCGAATAGCGGCCCTGGAAGGCCCCAAGGCTGCTCCAAGGAATCCATCAAACTGCCACAGAGGAGCTCTAGAAAGAGCTGCCTACGCCTAAAAAGCTGCCAAGGAGCGTTTGAAAAGCTGCGAATTGACGCCCTAAGAGCTGCAAGGGCGCGTCTCAAAAGTTGACAAGGAGCGCCTGAAAAGCTGCCAAGGAACACCTTCAAGGCTGACAAGGAGCGCCGTGAAGGCTGCCAAGAAGCGCAGGAAAGCTGCCAAAGAGCGCCTGGGAACAAAAAAAATGCCAGGGAACGCCTTACAGACTGCGAAGGAGCGAATGAACAGCTGCCAAAAGGCGCCTTGAAAGTGGCGCGCAATGCTGCGCTTCTGCCACCCTACACTCCTGTGCGCACGCAATGGATAGCAGACTTGGTATGTTGAACCATAGAAACATATCCTGGCGAAGGACCGAACCATGTGCAAGTGTGAATGCCATGTTGTGGCGTCGCTTTCGGTGGAACTCTCTATGGGGCCACGACCCGTGTGAGGGGTGCGCCAAAATGGGCAGCACCGCCGTGCGAACCCCGCCCGCCACTGGGGCATTCGGTGGATCTCCCTATGGGACACGATACGTGTGAAGGGTGCGCCAAAGTGGGGTGGCGCCGCCATGTGGACCCTGCCACTGAGGCCTTCGGTGGAGCTCCCCATGGGGCCACGAACCGTGCGAGCGGTGCTTCAAAATGGGGCCTCCACTCGGGCTCCCTATGGGGCCACGAACAATGTGAGGCGTGCGCCAAAATGGAGCGGCGCCGCCATGTGGACCTTGCCACTGGGGCCTTCGGTGGATCTCCCTATGGGGCCACGAAGCGTGCGAGTGGTGCGCCAAAATGGGTCGGCGGCGCCATGTGGACCCTGCCACTGGGGCCTTCGGTGGAACTCCCTATGGGGCCACGAACCGTGTGAGGGGTGCACCAAAATAGGGCGGCGGCGCCATGTGGACCCTGCTACTGGTGCCTTCGGTTGAGTTTCCTATGGGGCTACGAACCGTGTAAGGAATGCTCCGAGACACAACCATGCAGAGGGCAGAGGCATGGATGGGAGGAGAGGAGAGGAGAGGAGAGGACAGGAGAGGAAAGGAGAGGAGAGGAGAGGAGAGGAGAGGAGAGGCGAGGCGAGGCGAGGCGAGGCGAGGCGAGGCGAGGCGAGGCGAGGCGAGGCGAGGCGAGGCGAGGCGAGGCGAGGCGAGGCGAGGCGAGGCGAGGCGAGGCGAGGCGAGGCGAGGAGAGGAGAGGAGAGGAGAGGAGAGGAGAGGAGAGGAGAGGAGAGAGGAGAGGAGAGGAGAGGAGAGGGGAGAGGAGAGGAGAGGAGAGGGGAGGAGAGGAGAGGAGAGGGGAGGAGAGGAGAGGAGGGCAGGAGAGGAGGAGGGAGAGGAGAGAGAGGCGAGGCGAAGGCGAGGCGAGGAGAGGTAGAGGAGAGGTGATAGGGCAGGAGGAGAGAGGAATTGTAGAAAGGAGAGGAAGGAGAGGGAGAGAGGAGAGGAAGAGGAGAGGAGAGGGAAGGGGTCGCAGCGGAGGGAGGGGAGGGAGAGGAGAAAGAGGGAGGGTGAGGGAGAGGCGAGGCGTCAGAAGGAAGAGGGCGAGGAGAGAAGAGGAGAGGAGAGAAGAGTAGGAGCGGATAGAGGAGGAGACGGAGTGTAGAGTAGAAGCGCCGGTGTGCGGAGGAGTCGGGAGGGGCGGGGAGTGGGATAAATAGAGACCGGGGGAGTAGGTGAGGGGAGAGATGTAGCGAGAGAGGGGGGGGGGGGAATTGGGGAAGTGCGGGTGGGGGAGGAGAGGACGCAGGGCACAGTCTCTTCAAAACGAGGAACGCTTGAAACACTGCCACGGAGCGCCGTTGAAACACTGCCACGGAGCGCCGTAAGAGAACTACCAAGGAGCGCCGTGAAAGCTGCCAATGAGCGCCTGACAAGCTGCCAAGGAGCGCCTGAAAAGCTGCCAAGGAGCGCTTGAACAAACTGCCAAGAAGCGCTTGAAAAGGTTGCGAATCTGGTGAAGTTTCACAATCCTCAGAGCCTACAACTGGGGAGTGGACCAATTCACCGTGGAATGGAACAGCTTAGCGGGGAAAGAATTCCGACCCCCCTCCCCAGCCTGTGAAATTGGCGACAGCTTCCCAGTTCGCAGCCCACCAGGGATGGTAAGGTCAGGCTCCCCAGCAGCCGCCGAAAGCGATGAGAGTTATGCAGTTCGCAGCCTTCCAGGAACGGCGAAGTCAAGTCTGAACCCCAGTAGGGCGTCACAATGCTCGGCCCCCCAGCAGCCGTCGAAAGTGGCGACTGCTTCTCAGTTCGCAGCCCTGCAGGGCTGGCGAGGTCAAATCTGAATCCCTGTAGGACGTCACTGTTCTGGGCATCGCAACAGTCCTCGAATTGACAACAGCTTCGCGGTTCGCAGCCCTCCATGGATGGCGAGGTCGAACATAAATTCCCGTGGGGCGTTAGTGTGCTGCCTTCCACCCCAGAAAACCAAAACAATGATGATAGTTTCGCAGTTCGCAGCCCCCAGGGACGGCAGCCCTCGAAACTGGCGACAGCTTCCCAGTTCGCAGCGCCCCAAGGATGGTGAGGTCGAATATAAATCCCCCCGTTGGGCGTCACTTCGCAGCAGCCGTCGAAAGTGGCGACAGCTTCGCAGTTTACAGCTCCCCAGAGATGGCGAGATCTAATACAAATCCTCGTAGGGCATCTCTGTGCTGGACCCCACAGCAGCCCCCGAAAGTGGCGACATATTGGCAGTTCGCAACCCCCTCCGTTCGGACACTACGTTTGGCCATCGGCAGCCTCGAAAGCGGCAACTCATTCCCAGTTCGCAGCCCCCCATGGATAGCGAGGTCTGATATGAGCCCCCACTCGGTACCCACTACGCTGTCCCTCCAGCAGCCCTCCAGGGACGGCGAGGTCTAATCTGAACCCCCGATCGGCACCCGCTACGCTGTCCCCCGCAGCAGCCTTTGAGAGTGGCAACAGGTTCGCAGTTCGCTGCCCCCCCCTGGCCCGCCCGAGGGAGGTAGGAGGCAGGCTGCCAGGCAGGTGCGAGGCAGGTGGGAGACAGGAGGGAAGAGAGGAGGGAGGCGGGAGGGAGACGCGAGCAGAGTGCTCCATTCAAAACAACGACCCAACGCAGGAGGATTGGGAATTACAACACCAGAGCTCTGGGAGAGAGGATCCCACGGACAAGACCACACGCGACCTTACGCGATGGTTTACGCGAGCCGCCGAGGAAGCAAATCCCTCTTCTGGGAGGCTGGAGTGCTTATGGCCGCCGAGGGCCGCCGAGGGCGTCCGAGGGCCCGCCGGGGTCCGCCAGGAGAGCCCGCCGAGGGCCGCCAAAATCATCCGAAGGCCGGCGAGGGCGTCGGCGGCGCTGGCGGCGGCTGCGTTGGCGGCGGCGCCGCCATCGGCCGGGGCCGTCCTTCTTCTCCTCGGACCAACCTTTCTCCCATGCCGAGAGGCCCGCCGCGCAGTCGAACGCCTCGGGGAGGGGGTCCGCGCGCTCGCCGCGTCCGAAGAGCGACTCCGTGCGAAAAGGCGGTCCCGATGATCACAACCGTCGCCGCCGCCGTCCTCGCCATCGCCACCGCCGTCGTCACCGTCGGTGCCGGCGGCGGTTGCGTCGGCGGCGGTGCTGAGGTTTTCGCCGCCGTCGCCGCCGCCACCTTTCCCGTCCTCGTCGCATCGTCGCCGTCATCTTCAACATCGGCGGCGTCGTAGGCAAAAATCCGAGCCTCTGGACCGTCGCTAATAGTAGGACGGGGGTCCCCTGCGGCCCGGCGGTCGTAAAATCTGCGACCGCCGCAACCGCCGCCGCCCTTGTCGGCGTCGTCGACGTCGTCGGCGCCGTTTTTCCCCTCCTCCTCCTCCTCCTCCTCCTCCTCCTCCTCCTCCTCCTCCTCCTCCTCCTCCTCCCCATCCTCCTCCCCTGGGGTGAGACAGTGGATCTGGGCACATGCTGCGAGGAAGTGGTCGTGAGCAGGGCAGGTGATGTGGATGATTCCATTCAGCTGGGTGTTGCGCGTGACCACGTGGCGGGACGCCGAGTGGTCAGCAGCCTGCAGGCAGCCTGGCTCTGCGCGGATAATGCGGACTTCCAAGCGGTCGTAGACGAAATGGAAAAAAACTCTGCACCGTTTCACCCAGGACTAGGGCATGGGCAGCTGGATGGACTTGGCCGTTCCCTCCAGGACACCTCCTCTTCCTCCTGGAACCTCGACGTCGCCGCTGGTTCTAAGAGGCCTCCGGAGGCCTCCAGAGGATCGAGAAGGACAAAAAACATCTCGAGTCGAGGTTCGAACTTTGTCCGACGATCCTAAATCATCGATCCTCCCCTGATCATCGATTATCGGTCCTAAAACGTCCAACCATCTCGATCCGCGAACCTCGACTCTCGATCCTTGACCTTCATTCTGAGAATCCGTTGGTCCTCGATCTTGATCCTTGAACCTCCATTCTCATTCGATCCTAGAACTTCTTTCTTTCTTTCGCTAAAGTGCACGGCGTTCACACCTACACGCCCCACAGTCAGAAGTTGCCTTCAATAAAGCACAGTAGCGTTGCAAACCCCATTCTAAAGACAGCGTTTCGGCCACAAATGCCGACTGCACACAACAAACGTCATTCCTGCTCTATACACACTACGATGGGAGCCATGTGGAAAAATATGCCAAGAGAGCGGTGCCGGCCGATCCGTGGCCGGAGCCTCGCCTGGCTCCGCCCACGCAGAGGCAGACATTGGCTTTCTCGGCCGCCGCCCGCACCAAAAGCTCACCGCGTGCATCCTCCCACGGGCCGCCCCGGACCAGGGCGAGGTTCGCCGCGTGATCGGCCAGACTGTGAAAATGGCCAGGGCCCCACAGAAAATAATCGGGTATGCAACCTTCTCGAAACTCAACGTCGAGGATCAAACCTTGAACCTCGCCATCAAGGTTCGAGAGAGGATGATCGACCCTCGATCCTCGGCTCTCCATCCTCGATCCTCCAACCTCGATCACCCAATCCACGATCCCCGATCCTCAGAGCTCGCTCCTCGATCCTCGAACCAGCTCGAGCGTCGACCGTCGACCCTGACCCTCGAGCCTCCATCCTCGACGACACTCGACGTCTGGAGGGCCCAGGGCCGCGGCCGGACCCGTGCAGGGGCCAGGGCCGCTTGCGGGTGACGGGGCCGCGGAGCCGCTCGAGAACCGGCGCGAGCGCTGCCGTGGCCGCCGCCCGCGCCGTCGCGGCGGCGCCGCCGGTCGGCGACGCCGCTCGGCCCGCCGCCGCAAAACGCCGGGCTGCCGCCGCCGCGGCAGCGCGGCCGACGGAGCACAGCGGCCGCGCGGCGGGCGGCGTGCGCGCTGGCCGCCGGCCTCGTCGCCGGCCGTGGTCGTCGCGCCGAGCTCCTCGGGGCGCCGTCTGCGTCGCCGCCGCCCGCCGCTGGTGCCGTTGGCGCCGTCGGCGTCGTCGCCGCCAGCGTCGGCGTCGTCGGCGTCGGCCGTCTTCTTCCACCGACGCCGCTGGCGTCGTCGTCGGCGGCGTCCGTCGCCCGTCGCCGTGGCCCCCGCCGGCGTCGTCGTCGTCCGTCGTCCTTCGTCCGTCGGCGTCGGCGTCATCGCCAGCGCAGCTGTCCTCGTCCTCGGATGCCTTCAGAGGCCTTCGGGCAGCTTCTGTTGCTGGGCACCGTCCCCATTCATGCTGCCCCTATTCCTAGACCTCCGATGTCAACACTTGTTTTCAATCCGTGTGCCCAAGAACTCTCGACGCCTTGCCGTTGCTGCTTTGTTCACCCTGGATCGTTCTCTGCTGGTCCCAAGGGAGAAAGAAGCGGCCCCCGATGGCCAAAATGTTGGGGAAATCGCAAGGGAGTAAACAGATCAATCTGCTGAAAGTCTGGCGTCATCGTCTTGTTCGCTCCATCCCATTATTTCTGCATGTTCCGCATGTGGATACCCTCTCAAAACCAGCCCCAAGCTGCTGCTGGGCACTATCCTGACCCGTATTCCAAGCCGCGTCCAGCTGTGTCGACGAGAGGAGATGTCAAAGGTCAGCGCTGGTATTGAATTACCCCAGTGCGACCCTACCTAGAAGTTGGAGCCCCTAGGAAAGCAGCATTAGTTGCTATGCTATGCTATGCTATGCTATGCCATGCTATGCTGCGCTATGCTATGCTATGATACGCTGCGCTATGCTATGGTATGATATGTTATGCTAAGCTATGCTATGTCATGCTGCGCTGTGCTATACTAAGCTATGCTATGATATGATATGATATGCTAAGCTGCGCTATGCTATGCTATGCTATGTTATGTTATGATATGATATGTTATGATATGGTATGATAAGCTATGATATGCTATGGTATGCTATAACTGGCTATGTTATGATCAATGATATGCTATGATATGATATGCTAATGCAGCGCTGCGCTATGCTAAGCTAAGCTAAGATGCAATAAGCTAAGCTAAGATGAGATAAGCAACGCTAAGCTAAGGGGACGTAACTGGGGGGAACGGGGGGGCGGATACTGGGGGAACCGCCCGGGGCGCTTTCCACTGCCCGGCCCCTTTAAGCCCAGAGAGTAAGAACCCTTCTAGGCAGAGCCTAGGTAGGAAAATACAACAAAAACATATCAAAATATGGGTTCGGCGATCCGCGCGGATTTCTTTGGTCGGCCCTGCGCCAGCCCAAAAATCATGTCGTTTGTGCTGGTCTTCGATGGGCTTGCCGTAACGATGAATCCGCGATCCCCAGTTCTGCCCAAATGGCTGTGGCGACGAGAGGGGGCGTCGACAGCCAGCGTCTGCATTTGCTGCCCACTCGAGGCCTCCAGACACTTCGGGGCTGGCCTCGGCAGTCTATAACATGGGAACCCTAACCCCTGCGGATCAGATTGCTGGAACAGTGGCTGGGGTCCGGATTTCGAAGAAAATGTGCTCCCAGATAAAGCCCAGCGAGGGGTTGCGATACCCCAGCTTCTACTGGACCCGCAGGGGTTGGGTTCGCAGGTGGTCGCAGACTCAGACGGCCGCGGTGGCGATACACTCTCCGGCGCCACGCCTCGCGCACGCATGCCGAGGGAAAGCCAGTGGTCGCTGCGACGATGGAATTGCAGCGAACTGCCGTCTACGGTCTCGGCCGCGTTCGATCTCGACGTCGGCCGCGGGCTGCGGGACGGCGCGGGCGGGCCGCTTCGTTTTGAGCCGCCTCTAATCCACTCACCGATCAAGATCGGGCCGCTTCCTCCAGGCCACCTCCTCCTCCTCCTCCTCCTCCTCCTCGGCCGCCGCCTTTGCTCAAGCCAACTTCTCAGCGGCTCACAGGCACCCCGCGCAGAGCAGTTCCGCCCCACCTGGGCCGCCTTCCATGTCATGCCAGCCTGGCTGGCCTCCATATCCTACATACTCATGATCCGAATCATGTCGGTTCTCAGCTGGAGAGTCTACACACGGCCGCCCATGATCACCATGCATCGCTGCCTCGAGACCCACCGTCAGTTCAGCGCAGTGGAAGTGAGCATGTTGCCCGCGACGCGCTGGCGACAACACGACCCCAACTTGGAGGCGGACTACCTCCAGTCGTTCAATCACACCGTCTACAGCTGGGGCTACGGGCGCAGACTACACACCTACAGCCACGCGGGCAAGGCCATCACCGTCAATAGCAAGCGGCCCCTCCATCGTCGCATTCAAGAGCACGTCCAAGCAGAGTCAAGTAAAAGAGAGGGCCATTCGCATCAAGCGCGGCGAGCTCGACCTCACATTCTTCGTTGCTCATCCCCCACTGAGGATAGGATTCGTTGCCATACACAACCAGTGGGAGAAGACGGTCTACGTAACGCTCAAGTGGATCAACAGTACCCTCAGTGCCGCACCGACGAGAAGCAGCCCGCACATAGGCCTGGATTCGAACGACCACTTCGGAGAGGCAGGCGTCATCGCTACAGAGATCTACCATGTCTGCGGAGCTTCTCAGCCAGTCGGCCAGCCAGGTGAAGCTGCCTCGGCATTCAGTAATATGATGGACGTAGAGTCTGGTCTTTACTCCCCCGCCGGGAGGGGGGGGGGGGGTGTCGACCCCCCCCCCGGGTCAGATACGACGCCCCCCCTGGGACTCCTCTTCCCCTGGGCTCCAGCCAAGCCGACCTTGAGCAACCTCGTAATTGAGTCGAAGGGAAGCCCCTTCCCTTTGATCCCTCCCCCGCCGGGAGGGGGGGGGGGGTGTCGACCCCCCCCCCGGGTCAGATACGACGCCCCCCCCTGGGACTCCTCTTCCCCTGGGCTCCAGCCAAGCCGACCTTGAGCAACGTCGTACTTGAGTCGAAGGGAAGCCCCTTCCCTTTGATCCCTCCCCCGCCGGGAGGGGGAGGGGGGTAGCGACCCCCCCCCCGGGTCAGATACGACGCCCCCCCCTGGGACTCCTCTTCCCCTGGGCTCCAGCCAAGCCGACCTTGAGCAACCTCGTAATTGAGTCGAAGGGAAGCCCCTTCCCTTTGATCCCTCCCCCGCCGGGAGGGGGGGGGGGTGTCGACCCCCCCCCCGGGTCAGATACGACGCCCCCCCCTGGGACTCCTCTTCCCCTGGGCTCCAGCCAAGCCGACCTTGAGCAACCTCGTAATTGAGTCGAAGGGAAGCCCCTTCCCTTTGATCCCTCCCCCGCCGGGAGGGGGGGGGGGTAGCGACCCCCCCCCGGGTCAGATACGACGCCCCCCCCTGGGACTCCTCTTCCCCTGGGCTCCAGCCAAGCCGACCTTGAGCAACCTCGTAATCTCTTGCTGCGCATTGCGAACAGGGTCGGCGGCACCGGCCGTCAGGCCTTCGCAATATGATGGACGTAGAGTCTGGTCTTTACTTTCTGACCTGCTGGGCACACGTATTTCGGGAATGAGGGCCGCACGTCGCGTCCTGACTACCTCGCCATCCCCCAAGGACTACTTCCGCATATTACCTCGTGAAGGATTCGGTGGCAAGTCGCTGCAGCAGTACAGCTCATAACGGACAGCGTGCCAAGAGACCACGCCCCCCTTCATCGAAAGTCCAGAGATTAGTATGCAATAACATGCCACAGGCAAGCAGTTCACACTTTGGGCTACTGGCGAGATGGCAGCTTCTCTACAAACAGGCGCTTATCGTCACGCGTTCATTGCAGCATCGGAGACCTCCCTCTAGAGCAACACCGACACAATACGAGCACACATGGAGCAGTGCACGACAGTGGCGCACTGGACCTTCTTGATCGACACTCCCAAGTCCAAGGCCAAGCCCTTCTTCAAGCGCAAGAAGGAAACAGCCAGGTACCAGGCTGCACCGAATGGCGGCAACATTGGCACTGCCAAAGCCGCGTGCAGAATTACGCCAGAAGTCCATCGGTGCCGACTTACCCGGCCAGGACATAGTAGAGAAGATAGACATCCTCAAGCGGGCCATCAACATGTAGAAGCAGCCCCACGTAGCTAAAAAGAAGAGCTATCTCGAGGCAAGCATGCTCGAAGTTTGGACACAGCGGCAGCATGCAGTACACTGACTCTCCAGGTGCGTGGCAGGCACTAAGTATGACAAGCGGAACTGCTACTACAGCAGGGCGATTTGATCACGACCCAGCCTAGCACAGTGGACGCAGCACGTGGCTCAAAGAGGCATTCGCGGCGGCCATGCAGCGCCACCCATCGTCCTCAGCGAGAAGAAGAGACTACGTGAAGAAAGCACCGACGCCTTCACCGACGACCACAAGCAGCAGCTCAAGGCAGAGTACGAGGACGACAAGGCGTACATTGAGCAGCTCTTCTACGAGGTCAAGAAGCTTCTCAAGCACTTCAAGAAGCGCGCGTGCTCGACAGAACGGTCGCAACCAGCACAACATTTCCAGATCATCCTGCAGCCCACGGCTATCACAAAGAGAGGAAGCCGCTGACCCAGGGCATCGGTTTATGCGAGGAGCTGATCGAGGCACCGTGGCCATGCTCAGCAGGTGCCCTCGACCACATGTACTGGGCCTGCTTCGCTCCGATGGATGCTCACTACAGCCAGGGCTTCCCGCCCGACAAGATGTACGCCCAGACGTCCGTACCAGGACTACGTATACTACACACGGGCTCCCACGTCGGGCGTTGCTTGAATCGTCTAAAGCAGTGCCAGTCACCTCCTCGGTCTCCAGTACCTCCTGCTCGAGACTGCTGGCGAGCCCACCTCGTTTCTCCCGGCGGCGGCAAAGACAGCACCTACGCCTCCACGGGCTTTACGATGGACAAGGCACTGGGAAGTCATCTCGACACGCCTGGCAGGCGCGGAGCAGCTTCTCGCCCAATGTTACCAGAGCGCCTGCGGCAGGATCGACAGGGTCGTACAGTCAGGACATGTTCGGATGGGAGCTATGCCTGGATGTAGTACAAGGCCCCCCTACGTCTACTTCGATTGCGAGCATCTTGCGGGCCAGAGGCTAGACGCTACCATGAAAGACTCGAAGCCCTCCGCAGCCCTATCCCCAACCATGCACAACATGATCGACCTCACAGCCTACCTCGGCGTGGACAACATCCTAAAGATTCCAGTGATTCCTATGGGAGCCTCGCAAGCAGCAGTGGCCTTCCTCAACTCCTGCCTTGCCACGGAAGAGAGAAAGGACATGCTGGAACAAGAAGAGCCACAACAAGAGGGAGGACCTGCGCATGCGGCAGCTCAAGGGGCAAAGGCAGTTCGTGCCCTCCGGGGAGGAGAAGCAAACCATGCCAAGGGCGAACCCCAGCTCAAGAAGCTGCTGACAGTGCTGATCCAGCAGGTCTCGGCCAACACCCCGCAGCTGGCAGGACCAGTGGCGGTCATCGTCAACACGAACATCAAGTCAGTGCAGAGTACTATCATCAAGGCCCTCCAGACAAGCAGGAAGAACTACGAGGACAAGTGCAAAGAGGCAGGGAAATGACATGTTCCAGGGTCACCAGAAGGACACCTGTACATGATTCAGGTTCGAACCTACTCGCGGACGAGGGCGGCAGGTCGCGAGTCATCCTCACGGAGCACGGGCAGTTCCAGGACAAGATCTACGCGCACTCCGCCCTGTGCTCTGACAAGCACATCCGCATCAGCCAGAGATACGCCAGCAGCAGGGCCAGGCTCACCTTCTTCAGCGAGCACGGGCCACGGACGGACGCGGAGTGCGTGGAGGACGCCACACACGAGCAGCTCAAATACTCACCGATCAAGGACACCTACATCAAGCCCGCCTGCAGGCAGGATCAGTGGCACTGGAGGGCAAGGCGCCAGCGGGAGTCATGGAGGATGAGCAGGCCGCAGGGCTCGCAAGATACGATCATAATCGGATGTGGAGGCCGCTCTATCTACGCCATGGACGGGTTCAAGCTCGGCGTGCGCGACGCCGTGAGCTGAGGAAAGGCCCCGCGGTGTGCGGGCGACGGCGGGGGCCGCAGGCATATAGCGGAAAGCTGACTCGGCCCCCCTGGGCCGCTCTTCTTCTTCGTCTTCCTCCTCCGCCTCCTCCTCCAACTCCTCCTCCTCCTCCTCCTCCTCCGACGGCGGCGGCGGCGACGACGACGGCCGCGCCCGCGGCGGCACCTGCGACACCGACGGCGGCGTCGATAGCAACCGTGGCAGCGGCGCCGACTGCGACGGCGGCGACGGGCGACGGCGGCGTCAGCGGCGGTCGTCGCCGCCGCCGTCCGAGGCAGCGGGCGGCCGCGGGCCACCTCGTCCAAGCTGCCCCCGCCCTCGGACGGCGTCCGCTCGCCGAGCAGCTCGCCGCGCGCGCGCACGCGCGCGCGGCACGAACGCCGCCCCGCCGTCGGAGCGATCAAACGATCAAGCGACTCCAGGAAACACACAACAACAACAACAACAACAACAACAACAACAACAACAACAACAACAACAACAACCATTTTAAGGCTGTACGCTCTTATTTGCCGCGAGTCATTCAACACGTATACCCTACACCCTCGATACCCGCCCTCTTCGTCTTCGATCACACCCCTTTCGGGGGGATTATTTCTCTTTGCTGGGGCCGGCGGGCTTAGACGTACGGGCAAACCTGAACGGGCGGACAATCCTTCGGGGGCGTACATCTCTCTGCCCGCCATTGGAATTGGCGCGGGCCCTGCAAGAGGAGGAGGGGAAGAACGAGGGAGAGTGGGAGGAAGGGGAGGGGGAAGGACGAAGGAAGAGGGAAGATACCACGTTGTGAAGGCGTCCTTGGCGCGTGCGTGTTCCTGAGCGCCGAAACGCAATTCCAGAATAATTTGTGAGGACGTCGCACGCGAGAGCGCAGTCCTGAGTACATTGTGAGGAAATCTCAGGCGGAAGCGGGGGCCCTGACTCAGTTGCGAGGAAGTCTCAAGCGGGAGCGCCGTTCCTGAGCAAATTGCACGGAAGTCTCAGGCGGGAGCGGGGGTCTTCACTAAATTGCGAGGAAGTCTCAGGCGGGAGCGCCGTTCCTGAGTCAATTGCGCGGAAATGTCAGGCAGGAGCGGGGGTCCTGAGTAAAATTTGAAGAAGTCTCAGGCGGGAGCGCCGTTCCCACGTAAATTGCACGGAAGTCTCAGGCGGGAGCGGGGGTCTTGATTACATTGCGAGGAAGTCTCAGACGGGAACGCCTTTCCTGAGTAAATTGCGCGGAAGTCTCAGGCGGGATCGGGGGTCCTTAGTAAAGATCGAGGAAGTCTCAGGCGGGAGCCGTTGTTGTTGTAGCCCAGGGGGCAGGGGCACAGTTTGAGCAGGAAGATTTTCCTTTAGAAAAAACAAGGTGCGAGCCCCGGGGGTGGCACTTCAATCGAAAAAATCAATGTGCACCGGTGGGGGGGGATCAACAATAATTATTCTTCAAGAATGAGAGTTCAACAACAACAACAACAGTTTTAAGGCTGTACGCTCTTACTTGCCCGCGAGCCATTCAACACGTATACCCTACACCCTCGAAACCCGCCCTCTTCGTCTTCGATCACACCCCTTTCGGGGGGATTATTTCTCTTTGCTGGGGCCGGCGGGCTTAGACGTACGGGCAAACCGGAACGGGCGGACAATCCTTCGGGGGCGTACATCTCTCTGCCCGCCATTGGAATTGGCGCGGGCCCTGCAAGAGGAGGAGGGGAAGAACGAGGGAGAGTGGGAGGAAGGAGAGGGGGAAGGACGAAGGAAGAGGGAAGATACCACGTTGTGAAGGCGTCCTTGGCGCGCGCGTGGTTCCTGAGCGCCGAAACGCACTTCCAGAATAATTTGTGAGGACGTCGCACGCGAGAGCGCAGTCCTGAGTACATTGTGAGGAAATCTCGGGCGGGAGCGGGGGCCCTGACTAAGTTGCGAAAAAAAAAAAAAAAGGAAACAAAAAAAAAAAAAAAAAAAGAAAAAAAGTCTCACGCGGGAGCGCCGTTCCTGAGGCCAAATTGCACGGAATTCCCAGGCGTGGCGGGCCAAGTCACGAAATGCGAGGAAGTCCTCAGGCGGGACGCCGTTTTCTGAGTCAATTGCGCGGAATGTCAAGCATGACGGGGGTCATGAGTAAAATTCGAAGACAGTCTCAGGCGTGGAGCGCCGTTCCCATGTCAATTGCACGGAAGTCTGCAGGCGGGAGCGGGGGTCTTGATTTAATTCGAGGAAGTCTCTCGGTGGAGCGCCTTTCCTGATTTAATTGCGGGAAGTCCTAAGGCGGGAGCGAGGTCCTGAGTAAATCGAGGAAGTCTCTCGGCGGGATCCGTTGTTGTTTTGTCGCACGGGGGGTAGGGCACAGTTTGAGTCAGGAAGACTTTCCTTGAACAAAACAAGGTGCGAGCCCGGGGGTGGCACTTCAATCGAAAAAAAATCAATGTGCACCGGTGGGGGGGGATCAACAATAATTATTCTTCAAGAATGAGAGTTCAACAACAACAACAACAACAACAACAACAACAACAACAACAACAACAACAGCAACAACAACAAGGCAAAACAACCGGCTGGTGGACCCGGTGAGGGTCCACCAGCTCGCTGTTTCGCTCCTTGTGGCGAAACATATCACTGGTGGACCCGGCCCCCCTCCCCCCCGGCAACGCAACGCAACGCAACGCAACATATGGTGGGCAACAAAAACCAAAGGAAGCCGTTGGAAAATCCTCTGGAATCCTTCGGGGTCCTTAAGAAAGCCGACGCATTCCCACGAGCTGAAACTATGTGCGCTCCCCCGAGCCGAAACCTTCGGGCATGCTATAGAATCCTTAAGGGATGCTATAGAATCCCTAAGGGGAGGCTGCAGAACCCCTAAGGGATGCGATAGAATCCCTAAGGCATGCTATAGAATCCCTGAGGGATGCTATAGACTCCCTACGGGCTGCTACAGAATCCCTAAGGGATGCTATGAAATCCCTTAGGGCTGCCATAGAATCCTTAAGGGATGCCAAAGAATCCCTTCGGGATGCTATAGAATCCCTAAGGGATGCTATAGAATCCCTAAGGGATGCCAAAGAATCCCTGAGGGATGCTATAGAATCCTTAAAGGGATGCCATAGAATCCCTAAGGGATGCCATCGAATCGCTAAGGGATGCCAAAGAATCTCTGAGGGAATCCTTAAAGGGATGCTATAGAATCCCCAAGGGATGCCATAGAATCCCTGAGGGTTGCTATAGAATCCTTAAAGGGATGCTATGAAGAATCCCTGGGGGATTCTATAGAATCCCTGAGGGATGCTCTAGAATCCATAAGGGCTGCTATTGAATCCCGAAGGGATGCTATCTAATCCCCAATGGATGCTATAGAATCCCTAAGGGATGCGATAGAATCCCCATGGGTCCCGGCGTGTTGCCCGGCGTCCCTCAGTGGCCTGCCCCAGAGGGGGAGGCGCATGCCCACAGGGCTTGAACCACAAATGAAGAGAGGGAGAGGAGCGTGCCCACGTCAGCCGCAAGGCCACCAGAGCCACGGGAGTCAAATCCGCCGCCGTGCCTTCTGCATGGCAGAGGCGAATTCGAAGCTGGGCCGGCCTGTGGGGCCAGGGCCACGATCCTCGAGAAACGTGTGCCGAAATGATGCTTCAGTGGGGCTCCGTGTGGGGTCAGGGCCACGATCCTCGAGAGGGGTGTGCCGGAATGAAATTTCGGTGGGCCTCCCTGTGGGGTCTGTGCCACGATCCTCGAGAGAGGTGTGCCGAAATGATGCTTCGGTGGAGCTCCCTGTGCGGCCAGGGCCACGGTTCTCGAGAGGGGTGTGCCGAAATAAAAATTCGGTGGAGCTCCCTGTGGGACCAGGGCGACGATCCTCGAGAGGGGTGTGCCGACATGAAGCTTCCGAGAAACCCTGTGAGGCCAGGGCCAAGATCCTCGAGAAGGGTGTTCCGAAATGAAGTTTCGGAGGGGCCCTCTGAGGCCAGGGCACCCATCCTCGAGAGGGGTGTACCGAAATGAAGCTTCGGAGGAGCTCCCTGTGAGGCCAGAGGCCTTATGGGATTCCTATAAGATTCCTAAATATGACTCCCATCGGGTTCGTAAAAGCTTCCCGCAGGATTCCTTCCTGTGGGATTCCCATAGGAATCCTAAAGGCCCTATAGGTTTCCTACAGGTTTCCTATAGGATTCCCATCGGATTCGTAAAAGGCCCCATAGGATTCCCATAGGATTCCTGTGGGATTCCCATAGGATTCGTGAAGGCCCTATAAGATTCCTGTAAGATTCCCATGGGATTCCCATAGGATTCGTAGAGGCCCCATGGGATTCCTGTGGGATTCCTGAAGGATTCCTATAAGGTTCGCGGAGACCCTATAGGATTCCCATCGGAATCCTACAGGATTCGGGGTAACGTGCGTTGCGTTGCGTTGCGTTGCGTTGCGTTGCGTTGCGCCGGGGGGGGGGGCCGGCGCCAGTGAGTGGTTTCGTCAACAACAACAACAACAACAACAACAACAACAACAACAACAACAACAACAACAACAACAACAACAACAACAACGACGACGACGACGACGACGACGACAACGACGACGACGACGAGGGCGAGACAAACGACAAGGAAATAAATAAAAAAGGATAATAACACGAAAACCAGGACACCTGCTGCTGCTGCTGCTGCTGCTGCTACTGCTGCTGCTGCCTCTGCTGCTACTGCTGCATCTGCTGCTACTGTTGCTATTGCAGCTGGTCCACCTCCTCCTCCTCCTCCTCCTCCTCTTCCTTTTCCTCCTCCTCCTCACCGGTCCCCCTTCCCAAATGAACAAGCGCGTTGCAGCCCGATCGTCGCCTCTTCCGTGCCTGTCCGAAGGTCGTGGGCAACCACGATGTTCGGCAGGGGCGGGCGAGAGACTTGCACCCCGCTCGTCGCATGTTTTGCCCCACCCGTCCTTCCCACGGCCAGGATCCCACGCCCTGGCGTGCGTGGGGGCGGGTTTGTTTCGCGAGGGAGTGGTGCCCCACGGCGGCTTACTGGAGCGGCACAGCCAGAGAGCGTGCGGCGCACCACGGTGCGTGCTGCCTGGATCCTCGCCCATCCTTCCCACGGTCACGGTCACCCGCCGTGGCGTGCGTGGGGGTGAGCGGTGGCCCGAGGGACTGGTGCCCCTCGAGACGCGCATTGGGGCGGCACGGCCACGGAGGCGCGTCGTCATTTGAGGCGGACGCGACTCGAAATTGGTGGTGGTTGCGTGATGCCATGGTTTTGTAAATAGGCGTGTTCGTTTGCATCGCCCCCCCTCTTGCGGTGTAGTGTGCGCACTGCCGCGCAGAAGGATGCAATCAGTTTCACGAACATGGTGTGCGTCCGCGGCCGTGGATCCACGGGTACA